TCTGCCTACACATATACATATATATATGTTGTTCCTAAATATATGTATATATTTTGAATAATAATATCTTGCATTGTTGTATATATATATAATTTTAGTTTTAAACGATCTTTTCTTTCTTTAAACAAAAATTACTACTTTAGTAAACATATACTTTTAGCCAGCGCACATCTGTAGCTACTACAGATGTGCCCAAAAAAAAAAACACTTAAAAATGAAAGAAATCAGAAACTTATCCAGATCTTACCTTCGTTACTTAAACATATGTTAGAGCTATCTAATGACAACTCAAGTTGTTTTTGTTTCACTTTTTAATATTCACTGAAACGCAGTTATTTCAATCCCGAATTTTATCGAAATTGGATTTAAAAAACGAAAAAAAAAAAAAAATAAATTAAATAAGCATTTTGTAACATTTTACTTTTTTATGAATAATTTTACTCTTTATAAGGTGGTAATTATGTCTTACCAACAACATCAGTCTTTCCTCATTCTTACAAACTTTCACCGAGAAAGAAATGTAGGAGATAATACAGGCAAGGTTGTTATTTTATTTTTATTTCTTATTATTTGAGAAAGAACAGCATTAATTATTTATCTAACTTGAGAACTTATTCATACTTTTAAGATAATGAAAGGCTGCTTTGACTTACAAAACCAACCAAATAGATAAAATCCAAATTTCGCAGACAACCTCCGTATTACTAAAATTCTAGAAAATTCCCTAACAGTCAAGGAAAGCAAAACTCATCTAATAGAGTGCATGGTTCGATATCACAAAACCTCTAGTCCGATAAGGCTAAATCATGGAGGATAATAAAATCAAAAGTGAAAGTTGACTTCTAACAGAGAACTGCAAATTCCAATTAGTGAAGAAATTGAACAAAAATTAGTTTAAATAACAGAAATTATTTGATTTAAAATTGTATTTATTGATTAATTTTACAAAGAAGAACATGTATGGCAGATACGTTAATTTGCATCTGTTATGAAACATATAATATATAAGAAACTAATAATCTTGATGTACAAGTTCGAGTGAATTACACACGCAATTTGTCTAGATAAGCAAACAGTCCTAACTTCACATTAAGATGTGCAACCTTTAAAATTTCTAAATGATGAATGTTATGAAAGGACTTGTGTGTGAGATAAAACAATGACATTTGCTTAGATGTGTTGTGCTTCTGAACAAGATAATAATGAAGTGAAAATTCAAGATTTTCATAAACTGAATATATGTGTTTATATGTATATATATAGTTTCTGACAATTATTTACTCTTGCTTATAGGAAAACAATATCATAGAAATCAGAGAGCAAACTTAATATATAGGCTTGTAATTGCAGCCAGTATTAAACTGGAACACACTCTCTAATTTCCCAGGCGTGAATTAATTGAATTAAGTTCGAAACAAGACCACCTATAAACAAAGCAATACTTGGCTAATGAACAGTTCACGAAAAGTGCGCATATCCAGTTAATAACGGCACTTTCGTTTACTGTTGGAAGCTACTAGATGTCTCTTTACAGAGGTTTAGAATTAGACAACATACTATTTATGGAACAATATAGTTAAACAGAAACAAACTGCATATTATACGCTTTTACTTCGCTTAGCAAGGTTCTACCATTAGGATCTAAAGTACGCTAGAGTAACTTGAAGTAGATTTAATATACAGTATAATGGTTTGTTTTATGCAAAACTAATAAGAGTATCTGCAATCGTCCCTAATTTTGAACCACTGACCACAGGAAAAGCAACCGGCTGGCAGCATCCATCGCTAACTCTTGGGATATTCTTTATCAATGAATAGTGGGATTGACCGAACACAATACCGTCTCCACTATTGAAAGAACGAGCAGGCGATCGTACTCTGTGCCAAGTTTAGATCCGCGACCCGCAGGTTGGTAGTCGTATGTCCTAATTACCACGTTATGTCAGACCACGATATAATAAAAAGATGACAATTATGGTAATATTATCTGTTACCTAAACCTCTTTTCTAAATAGTAAAGTGCAATTCATAAATTTATAAAAAGTTTCAATCTCAACTTACATATTTGCCCCGCAGTGGCACAGTGGTATGTCTGCGGACTTACAACGCTAGAATCCGAATTTCAATACCCATGAGCACAGATAGCCATTGTCTTAGAAATATAAAACACGTTAGATACTGACACCACTAAGCATTGTTTTGTGTTTCCCACTCAGAAGCCGTAAATATTTTTAGGAATTCATGGTGTATTTAAAAAAAAAAATATATGGATTGATATAATAAAATTCTCGTTGGATATTATACTAGTGTACTACTTATTAAGCGGCTCTAGGATAAGAGAGATTATCGAAAGTGTAGCGATTTTCTTAAAAGATTTTGACATATATATTTATATAAATTTATAAAACATTTAATGCAGGTATTCTTGCATTTAGTTAGCGTCTTTGTTTAAATAACGTATTTAGTTATGACTTGTGTTAATACCTGCCTCGATGAGGCCTTATTGCAGGATTCATTATTGAGTTACTTTTACTGAGGCGCAGACTGTGCCCAAAATTAGAGAGGTACAGTGGTCTCCACTGATCATCATCAGCAGAGAGGTTATTTCCCATTGAATATAAAATGAGTGTTTCGTCCAAGGCAAAGGTATCTATCTGAGGTTTGTGGGATATCGAACCGAGATGAAGTCGTAACTCACTAAAGTTCAGTATCATACGATAGGTGTAGAGGGGAAGTATGTTTTCTCTTCAGTTCCAGCACCTAGACAATTCATAATTAATGATATGATCAGTTTAAGTTTTAAAGCACAGAAATAATGCAAGTGTGTTTAAAACTATCGCTTGAACACCTTGTTGTATTGAAACAATAAAGGGAGTATTATTACTGTTTTGTTCAGAAAATAGTGTTTAGTGTCTTATATTTCATTATTTGGGTTTGGTTTATTCTCTGTGAGGAATTTCCTTTCTACACTTTCTTTACCTACGAATCTTATAGGTTTTAGGTTGGACAACAGTAGGCTAGAATTTACCATTCTTTTTTAACTTTGTACCTATAATCGTGACCTGGCATAACCTAATGGCTAGGGCGCTCAACTCGCAATCTGCTGGTGGCGGGTTCAAACATGCTTACCACTTCAGCTGTGGAGGCGATATAATGTGAAGGTTAATTAATTAGAAATGCCCAAAAGTTGAAAATTGGTGGTGTTAACTAGTTGTCTTCCCTCTAGTCTATCACTTTTAAATTAGGGAAGACTAGCACATATTGCCC